AATAAAGAGATTGTGACTTGATACTGCAATATCTGAGTGAAAATATTCCCTGAGGTGTAAAAAGATAAAACTCGTCAGTGTGTAATTGGTGGGATTATAAGATGGTGTCATTCTTTTATGAAACAATAAATGCATAAATGTTAGTTGGGGTAGGGCTGGGGCTTAGCATATTTGTGAGGTTTTGTTTGTTTGGTTGGTTTTTTTGGTACTGGGGATTGGACTCAGAACCTTGCGCTTGCCAGGAGAACACTTGATCTACTAGGCTATTTTCCCAGCCCTAAGCTTAGCATATTGAAGGTGCTAGTTTTGATCTCCAGCACCACATTAAAAAACTAATAATAATTAAGTCTTTTTGTAGGAAATATTCAGTTTCCTTTGACTTAAAAATACATTTGATCTCATCTGTAGTTCCATTTTTGCATTGTTTCTGAAGCCTCCACCAGTGTTCTGCTGCACTTCTCATCCTGTTCACTAGTATCATCCCCAACCCCTCACACATCTATGAAAACTAGATATAAAACTTAACTTTGAATGTGTTTTAATTTTCATTGAAGAGTGGTGGCTTAAGAGAATATCTGACCACAAGAGATACTAAAAGGAAGTTAGATTAAATATAACAAATGAAAAAGAATGAGAAATTAGGACCTTACTAATAATATTTGTATTGACTAAGTAGACATATTTTAGTTGTATTTTTTAAGGAAAAAGCTGGATTAACTAAGTTAACTAATTAAAAGCAGCAGGAGCTTGAGAAATACTATCTTAAAGATGCCTTTTAAAAATAAATGACAGACATTTGTAGGAAAGTGAAATAAAGCAGTCACACAAGTTTCAGTATCATGATTCTCTTAAAATAGGAAACTCAAATGGTAAATAAAGAGCAAGTAGGGAGATAAATCTTAAATGGGAAGGGGATTAAGAGATGGGAGAAGGGAAGACAAAGGGGATGAAAAAAGAAGTAAGATGTGTTATGTGCATTTATGAACTCCACATAAGGAATATAAACCTTACGTACTGTAAGTGTGTGTTAAAAAAATAAAGTGACTAAGAAGTGAATTTTATATTCTTCTAGGCTTTTGCACTCTGATCGAGATCCTATTCCAGATGTTCCTGCAGTATACTTTGTAATGCCATCTGAAGAAAATATTGATAGGATGTGCCAGGTAAAATGTGTTCTTACCCTACCTGATAAAGAAATATCAAATCAAACTTCTTTTTCCAAGTATTTTAGATAATACAATGCAAAGAATCAAATTTCCCTTACCCAGTTTTTCACTTTGACTTTGAGACTATCTTTGAATTTAAAAATACCTCAAATGATTTATCAACTATATTTATTTACTTTTTTCCCATAATTTCATTGAGAACCACATATCAGTGAGACAGTTTCAAATCAAATTGGTAGGACAGTTTCAATAATTAACACATTGCATACTCTCTTCCTAGTGGTTATTTGCTGTACACAATGCAGACATGATACCCTATTTACAAACACTATTACAACAAATCACTCTATTCATTAAGAAAATGTAACTATATATCTATCCTAACCATTTTGAATACACAGATACAAAATGGACATTCATCTGTATCCCCTTTTTTGTTTAGTTCCGTCATTTGAATATTATAGGTGTGTAAACTCAGCAAAATATTCTAAAAGAGTCCAGTAGTCCATAATAGTATTGGGTCTTCCGCTTGACTGGCAATGTCAGAAATTGTTGACCTGAGTCCCCTACAGCTCAACATAATATCATGGCTTTACTTCTTATACTTTGTTTTTATATTTTTCTGCTGGGTGGTTAAGACCAAGATAAAGCAAGATCTATGCAACAAGAGTTGTAGCTTTTGGATCTAATAAGGTCAGTGAAATCCCCTCAGGATTTTTCCTGAGATCCTGTACCTCAGATTGTAGATCCTTTGTCAGTGTCAGCCGCTGCTGGTGGGAATGTAGACTGGTACAACCATTATGGAAATCAGTGTGGAGACTCCTTTGAAAACTTGGACTGGAAATCCCATTCAATCCAGCTATTCCTCTACTGAGAATCTTCCTGGAGGATCTGAAACATCATATCAAATGATTTTACATTGTTTTATCACAAGAAACAGTATATTAATAAAAATTGAGCTTCGCAAAACAGAAAGTCTTATCTTTGTTAGCTTTAATAATAGTGATTTCAAAAAAAAAAAATAATAGCGATTTCATTTTCTCAGATAATAGGCCAAGGTCAGGAAGTCCATGCTGGTGAAGAACATGATGAAATAATCGAAGATTTAGACTTCCTTGTCTCTGACCTTTCATTTTATGTTGTTTCATTGTCTTGTTGCTTCATCTGTCTAAGGTGGCAGCTACAGACATAGACATTGCCTCTGTGTTCGTGGCTAGAAGCAATAATACATGAACCCTGCCAGCCCTGACTGTCCACCGTGGTCAGGAAAGTTAAACCTTCCCGGAAAGGCTTAAACCTCCCAGAATGCTTTCCTTTATGTCTGTCTGGCAAGAATTAGCTTCAAGAGATGATAAAAGTTAATATTCAGATGAATTTATTGCTACCTCTAAAAAAATTTGGATTATTTTCGCAAAGAAAAGGGTAGGTAAAAGGTTATAGGATAGGTAGCTAACAGCATTTTGCACAAGTCTCTATGTTACTTGTTAATGCCTCTTGAATCAAAGTCCTGTTTAGTTAATGAAGGTCACATATGTTGTGTTCCAGGTAGCTTTGTGATACCCACTTTGCTCTTTTACCCTGCCCAAACATAACTGCCACTTTTATTGAAGAGGTACAATATCAGTCTTTTTCTCCTTCCCTTTTTAATTCACTAACAGCTTTATTGAAACTAATTCACAAACCATGTAATTTATCCATTTAAATTGTACAGGTGATGTTTTAGAGTATTCACAGAATTGTGCACACATTACCAGTTTTTGTCACCTCAAAAAGAAACTTACCTTTTGGGGGCCTGCCCATTAGCTCAGTTGTTTAAGTGCCTGCTTAAGCGAAGCAGTCAGGTTCAGGATGCTGTGGTTCGAACCCAGATACTCCTGCCAAACCAGATCTTCCCTGAAGACATCTTGAGGTGGCCAAAAAAAAAGAAACTTACCTTTAAGTTTTATATCTCCGACCCCACTGCTACTGTGAGTATTCCTAAATCACTTTCTATTCCCATAGATTTTCATGTTCTGGCCATTATGATGATCAGAATCTCATGATTCTCCTTCATATCTGACTTCTTCCGGCTTAATGTTTTCAAGGTTCATCCTAGCTGTGTTTTTGTTTTGGTGTGGTGTGGTTTTTCTTTTTCTTTCTTTTCTTTTTTTTTTTTTTTTTTTTTTTTTTTTTTTTAACGGAGAGTTAAACTCAGGACCTTGTGCTTGCCAGACAGGCACTTATGCTGCTGAGCTGTATCACTGGCCCAGGTTTTCTTTTTCTTTTCTTTTCCCCTTGGTATTGTGCATTGAGGGAAATGTACTCTACTACTGAGATACATCCCCAGCCCATTTTTTCTTTTTCCTAATTTTGAGGCCAGGCCTCAACCGCAAAAGGTTGGCCTTGTATTTGCCATCCTTCTGCCTAAATCTTCCAAGTAGGTGAGATCAAAGGCATGTACCACTATTATTCCTTTCTGTGGTCAATGTTCCATTGTAATCATGTGCCATATTTCTGAGTCCTTTAAGTTTTCAAATAAATTTTAGGATTAGCTTGTCAAATTCTATCCCAAAGCCAACTGAGGTTCTAACAGGGATTGTGTTGAATCTGTAGATTAATTTCAGACTTTAATAGTATAATAATATTGCCACCTCTAAAAAAATGTTGTATTCTTTTAGCAAAGAAAAAAATAGGTAAATGGTTATAGGATAGGTAGCTGTTAGCATCTGGCACAAATCACTACGTTACTTGTTATTGCCTCTTGAATCAAATTGCTGTTTAGTTAGAAAAGGTCCTAACAATTATAAATTTTCTGGCCTATCAACATGGAATACCTTTACCTATTTTATACCTTCTTTAATTTCTTTTAATGTTGTAGAGTATTTATAATATTTGTGCTTCTTGTTAGATACATTTCTTTGTATTTTTAATGAATGGAATTATTTTTTGAATTCAATTTTGAGGATTGTTCATTGCAAATGTATAGAATGCCAGTGAGTTTTTATATACTTTTCTTGTATCCCACAGCCTTAATGAACTTACATTAGAAGTCCTTTGGATTTGTTTCCATTCTTTTGACCTGTGTGCTTTTCTGTCTGTCTGTCTGTCTGTCTGTCTGTCTGCCTGTCTGCCTGTCTGCCTGTCTTTCTGTCTTTCTTGTGTAATAAGATATTCCACTTTCATTGTGTAATCTGTGTGCCCACTCCTGGATTCAGTTGTTTATTAAAGGAGCTTTGTTCTCTGTAAGGAATGGTATTTAGAAATTAGTATCTGTGCATTAGGTATACTCAGTGGTGCCACTCACCTTAGATTCTGTCAGTGGGCTAAACTAGGACATACACACACACACACACACACACACACACACACAAGCATACATGGTTTTATCTCCACTTCTATAAATCTTCCTTTCCTCCCCACCTATCTAAATAAATAACCTCCACAATTGTTATATTTTTCAACACAGAGTTTATTCTAGCTTCTCTTTTTTTCTTTATAAATTTGCAACTCGTTTCTCTGATACTAAAAAACATGCTTAAGGCTCAGCAATAGAGCACCTGCCTGGCAAGTGCAAGGTTCTGAGTTCTATTCCTGGTTAAAAAAAAAAAAAAAAAAAATAAAAAAAAAAAAAAAAAAAAATGCTTGCCAATACCTGAATATATTTATCTTTTCAGTCCTACTGCGTAACTAATCTCCCTACCCTTTTGAACCCCTGCCACCTTGAGCTGCTTGCCTCACATAGGTGCCAGCCTCTGGGTTTCTTACATTTTAACATCTCTGAAATTAAATGCAGCCTAAAATCCAATGTGTGTCATAAAATTTTATTGCTAGCATTCATTCTTAGTGATCTATAAATGATTATGCCTGTCATAATTGATACCTTAGACTTCAGGAAATATTTAAATACCTTTCCCTAGAGTTTAGTAATTATATTTAAGATTTTGCATATCTTAAACTTCATTATATTTTAGTGGTTGAAAAGAAACATTTCTGTTGCTGATAATTGGAATTATGATACCTCTGTGTGCAGTAATGGAAGTCTTTGTCATATAATTATATGACCAGCGGAAAGTAATGTCTGCCAAATATCACACCATTTTATTGTGTTTGATCATACAGTGTCTACTCCTGGATATTTTTAAGAAAAAAGTTCATCAAGGACACTTCACATCAGTTTTGTGTTATAGTATGTTACAATTAATAAGAATCAGTTAATATCTCAAAACTTTGTCTCAGTAATCAGATAACTACTACTTCATAACTTTGTTCTCTGAGTTACCTTTATTGTCAGGTATATACTCTGTCTTTAAGTATGTCTTATCCTCCAAAACTTTGTTTTTACAGGATTTAAAAATTTTTATTTATGGTATTCCTTCATAATGTTCTCTAAGAATGAAATATTTATTATATTTATAGGATCTTCGTAATCAGCTGTATGAATCATATTATTTAAATTTTATTTCTGCTATTTCAAGAAGTAAGTTGGAAGATATTGCAAATGCAGCATTGGCCGCTAGTGCAGTGACACAAGTAGCCAAGGTAAGAGATTTGGGTTATGGAATGACATTTTGTGAACATAGTATATTCACAGTTCTCTCAGAGCTGTTAACCAACATAGGTGTCTTATTTTACAAATGACCACAATAAGAAATGTTTGGATTTAATATTTTTAGAAAGAATTCTCATAATGTAAGTTGTCTTCACCTTAAACTGAGATAAGTGAACAAAGTTAAAGGGACCCTAATATTCAGTGAATTTGAAAAATAAAACCTAAAAGTAGAATCAGTTTTTACTTTAGGCTGAGATTTATATAGTCTTTGTAGCTCAGTTTTAGAAACAGTTTCACACTTTTTTTATAAGTTGTATTTAGAATATATTGACGTTACTTCTTTTGTAATACTGTCGGCACCTTTTCATCTCTACATCCTTTCTTCTTAACACAGTCACAACAGGGTGTAATTCCTGTCTCATTGCTGGGTGACTTAAACCATGGTGGTACATGCATGACTTTCCATTAGATGCCTTTTTATTAACTTTATTAGTAAGAAGACAAAAGTGATTAGGTCCAATGGGACAGTCATGGATGTACCACTAGTGGTTCAAGCCAGCAGGAATGTATGGAGAGGATGCAGAGAGGCTATGTTGTGTACTGTGAGGCAAAAAGAAATTGCGACAGGCCAGTTACTATATCATAGTAATTTTTAGATGGTTTCAGCTTTAGTTATAAATTTATAAAATATATTCCTGGATTTAGCGCTGTTGCATGCCCTGTGCTCGTTGAATACAGAACAGTCACAAATAAAAAGCTATAGGACTGTATAGGACTTCCCATATTCTTCCCCACTGATAGATTTTCATTCCTATGTTTAGAGAGTCTGGTTGCTACTTCTTATTATTTTTGTAATTTCTTCCTTAATGTTCTAGTTCAAAATGTTCTCATTAATTTTACATAAAATAGTAGAAATGGTTCAACTAAATATAATTTGTTTAAATATAATTTTTCTTAATTTTTGCATTCCTTTGTACTTAAAGTAGAACTGGCATAACATATATACTATATATTAAAGCATAACTAAAAACAGATACTGAGAATTTTTAGGAAAATGTAATTATAACTATAAAAATTTAAATTGTAATTTTTCTTCACAATTAGTGTCCATTCCTACCATAATCACAATGTTTTTATAATAGTTAAATTTTTTTTGAAAATAGCCTCTTGATATCTATTGTTTTTATAGCTTTCTAATATTCTTAACTCATACTTACCCAATTATGTAGGCTACTAGCATTTTAATTAAAGAATGGAATTAGAATTTTTCTCACTTTTGCTACTAGTAGGTTAAAACAAATTGTTTGCTTTTAATATGACTTATAAAATTGCTTATAAATTTTTTTCATTTGTTTCTAGGTTTTTGATCAGTATCTCAACTTTATTACTTTGGAGGATGATATGTTTGTATTATGTAATCAAAATAAGGAACTTGTTTCTTATCGTGGTATGTAAAAATAAGATTGCACTTCATTGTTTACAAAATTAATGATATGCTACAAGAAAAACAATAGTGAACTTTCATAATGTACTCCAAAACTAAATTTTGTTTATAGCAGTAGTGCCATAAAGATTTTTTAAAGCACATAGGAAATGTCTCAACTAAATTCTGTTGCATATAAACAGCATTTAATAAACATATTTTATAATCTCAGTAAAGTACCAATTCTCTGACGTTTTAGGTATCTCCACAGAAATTTGCATCAATGACTTACTTTTGCCAATTAAGAAAAAAAGTGTATATATTTACTTGGCAATTAATATATGTGTGTGTATATGTATATATGTGTATTTACGTATATACATACCTATCTATCTATCTATCTGTCTGTCTATCTGTCTATCTCTCTATATAGGGAAAGGGGTATAACGAGCAGCCACTTGGCAAATGCAAGGTCCTGAGGTTGATCCCCGGTATCACATTTTAAAAAATGTAGATAGATAGATAGATAGATAGATAGATAGATAGATAGATAGGAAAGAAAGATAGCATTGAGCTACATCCCATTTTAAATTGTTTTGTTTTCAAAAAGATATTATTAAGTCGCTAACATACCCAGGCAGAGGTCAAACTTGCGATCCTATTGGTTCAACCTCCCAGAGTGCTGGAATTACAGAAAGGCACCACCAAGTCCTCTAAGACAGTATTTTAGTGCAGGATAGAGTGAATTGTCTCATACTTCGATCTTAGACAAGAATGAGACACTCTGTACTTAAAGAACTGGCCCAGATGATAACCTCTGTGAGAGAAGAAGCTTTGGTTTCATTAAAATTATATTCTGTAGCTTGCTTTCTTGTTGAAATTAAACAATTTCCTAGAAGACCATAAGACTTGGCTGAGTGGTCCATGTGAGAATTTTTTTGGTGGTAGTTATTCATAGAAGTACACTCACAATTTTAAATAAATTAGCAGCTTCAGTTACATGTTTAAAGCTTTGTTTTTCTTTAAAGCTTTGTTTTCTTAAACTTAGAAATTTTGTTATTTAAAAATGTAGTTAAAACAAGTACCTTTACTTTTTCCTTGATCAGTTAACTTAAGTTGAATAAAGTCTTCTAATCAGTTCCACTTAACAAGGTAATCAAATTTAGTTTGTTACATTGCCTTAATATTTTAAATTTATAAATTTAGAATATTTAGAAGAATATTATCTTCTTAAAAAAAAATCACATGCCAGGCCAGGCAAATTTGCTCAAATACTTAAGTAATTCTTTAAGAATAAAAATATTTTAATGAATCTAAGTCACAGAATGAGTGTTCAAATATTTTAAAATTAAATTTTCCTGTATCTGTCAGTTTTTAAAAAACACAAGTCTGAAATTAATTGCTAATTTTAGTCACACAGTTAATTACCCAGATAGAAATAATAATTGTAATTGCTTGCATTCTGGCAATAAGTTCTTCTAACCACTTTACTATATAAGCTCTTTTGCATATCAGAATGTTTGTGAAGTAGATACTGGTATTTCCAATTTGTACAGTGGAAAAATGAGCCACAGCTATTAAAAAAAGGCACCTTTATTTTTCAGTTAGGAAATTGGCACGTCCAGGTTACTCACCGCAGCAAGCAATGTGTTCACGCTCCAATAGTAGTGTCCTTAGCCACCATGCAATCCTATGCCAGATTATTTCAAGCGATATAAGTACTTTAATCAAAATCTTAAACAGATATTCTTCAGTGTTTTAATACCATGATTTGATTTGGATTCCCTATCTTTTTAATTCTGAACTTTTTGTGGATTTGTGATTTACCCAATAAAGGGAGCAAATTCTCATCTTAGTCAAACTGAGACTATGATCTAAGACCGAGCAGCTTTGTTGTCTCAAGTTGTATTGAAGATACTGATGGATAGGTGGTGACTGTTAAAGATTATTTCCTTGCCATGCCAGCTCCGCCCCCAGGGTGCGCTGAAACAGCAATTAGGACTGGGCGTGGTGGCATGTACCTGTAATCCCAGCTCTTGGGAGGCTGAACACAGGCGGATTAGGAGTCCAATCTGTGTAGTGAAATCCTATGGACCCTGTACTGGAAAAAAAAAAAAAAAAGATTATTTCTTATTCATAGGATTGGAGCTAAATGTAGGACTAAAGAAAGGGCTGAAGGCTTCTTTGTAGGTTTTACCTGTGTCAGATTATTGAAAGATTCATGTTCTCTGAAATCAAGTAATTCACACTGTATCCTCATATGCCTTTTGTTTGATCTGATTTGGATAGATGACAGTGTGGAACACCTTAATAACAGCACGTTTCCTTCATCTGATTTTATTGCCTGATCAAATTCTTTGTCTTATGTTCTTCTGGTAGGGCATACTTTCTTTAAATACTTTGATATGTGTATCAAGTTAGGTTCTGCTTTCTTCTCATGCTAATCACAGGTTACATTAAACTTTACTTTTTTTTGTATTTAGGGTATTGGTAAATTAATACTACTATTAATACTAAATTTTATATTAGTCTTTTCACATATAGTTAACAAGCTTTGTCAGAGACAAACCCTAGATATTGTGAAAGAGAAAACAATAAATCAGGCTCTGAAGGATATTCTTCACAACTGTTTCTCAAGTGGTGGGGATTGTATGGGTTAGAAACCTCTTTTTGGAATCCTTGTGGGAAGTTTCCAGTAATTGTTTTTTTCTTTCCCCTTTATTCAGAGTAATTCTTACATGTACTAAGGTGTAAGAACTACTTATGTACAGTTGTACAGCTTAGAAAAGAATTGCATGTAGCTTATAATGCAAAGAAAGTGATATGTGATTGTGCCATAATTGATTTACATTTTCTTTTTTGGGATTGTTGGTTAATAGGCTTAGTAATTTCTTGAGGCCATCTAGTGTTTATAAATAAAATTATGGATTATAACATTCGTTTTTCTAAGTGCTGGCAAAAATTTTAGATAGTTTATATAGTGAGAGGTTTTATGGGGTTTTTTTACCATTCTTCTGATACTGACATAATTTGGTATGTGTGACTTCTATTTTAAGTGTTTTTAATGTTTAATGTATCTAAGTTTACACTCAGTATTTCACTTGAGTATTATGTCATCTAATTGGATATTTAATTAGTAACTTAAGTGTTTAGTGAAGATTAAAGATAAATTTTGATCTTTTTTTTTTTCCTTTAACTCTGTCATTTTAGCTATTAATAGACCAGATATCACAGACACAGAAATGGAAACAGTTATGGACACTATTGTTGACAGCCTGTTCTGCTTTTTCGTTACACTAGGTAAGTTTTCAGATCTTTCTGGCTAGTGCTTCAAAACAAATGACTACTTTTATTTGATACAGGGTCTCACTATGCAGCTCAGATTCATACTGATCCTCCTCTCTCAGCCTTCCCAGCACTAGGATTACAGGTTGCACCACCATGCCTGGTTTTGGGGCTGGCACAGCATGCCCGAATACCAGGGCCAGCACAGCAAGCAGTACTGGGAGTTGAACTTAGGTCCTTGTGCTTGCCAGGCAAATGCTTAGACCACCGAGCTATCTTCCAAGTCACAAATAACTACTTTAAATCTGTAACACTGTACTGTGATCCTCTCACCTATTTGAATCTTGAGCAGCAAGAGTTGGAGCAAAGTGATATCTCAATATAGTTAATCCTCTTGAATTAACATCCAGCTATTTTTTTGAGTTGTTTCCTTAGATGTTTTTGGTAATACATTGCTTAAATGGTTTTCACCTATGCCTGCTAGCTTTTTAAAAACATGTTGTGAAATATTTCAAACATCCTTTTAAGTACGATGCTATATGCCTGGTGATTACTAAGGCAAATTCCAAAGCACTCATGAAACACTAAATTTATATATAATGCTAATCTACCTATATTCTAAAAATTTTAAACATCTCCTTGGATCACTTAAACTTGCTCACAGCTATATTGTATTTAATATTTAATATATGATTTTATGCTTACCGTTAGTGAGATATCTGTTTAGAAACCTGATTGCAGTTTTAATTTCATAGGCATTTAAAACCTATTAATTAAATGATCCTTACAGTAGAATGATAAACTTTTTACACTTTATAAATGAGAAAATTTAAGAAGAGATGTGCTCCTCCTTCTGTTTGTGTACAGGTTTTACAAATTTGTATACAAAAGTTAGGGCTCCCTTCTTTCAGAGATTTTCCCCTTTAACTTCCATCTCTGAACACAGACCTTTTATTTTTCACGTCAGTAAGTCTCCTGTTTTCTGCTTATTCTTTCTGTTGTGGTAAGGAGAATAGAAAGTATCTTAAGGAGAAAAGCTTACTATACATGTGTATCACTTTGTTTGATTCATTTCTTTCAAGAGTTTTATCTGTCATTTCTCCCTGGGCTCAGTGCCCTCAAATGAATTGGATTTTGATTTTTGGTTTTTGGGGGTTTTTTGTTAGAAGAAAACCCACATGTATGTAACTTTTATTCACTAAACACATAATCATTATCCTATTTTGCCATCCTGTTTAATTGAGTATTGCTAGGGCTGTTATGGACATGTAAATTATTTTTTCATGTTACATGATATAGTTTCTACATAACAATAGATTGAGAGACATTTATAATGACTACTGAAGCTTTAGAACCACCTTTATTATGTGTAGAGTAAAAAAAGTGATTTTGTTTTTCAAAGAAGAAATTGAAGATACTGCTACTCTGATAGAGAAGAATATTGACTCTCAATTGTTATATCTAAGAAAACAATTTTTAGAACAATATATATAATATCCTATTTTTGTTTTTTAATACAGAGAAATATATATAGATACACATACTCCCACTTACTAGGCCATGTAGAAAATGTGAAAGCATCTATTTCTAATTCTTAATGTGAAAATTGTTTTGGAGAATCTAGAATCCAGAGTTTACTTTTGCATTTGTAATACTGAATTAAAAAAATCAAAAATTAGATTTTCTGATGTTAAATTTTTTATGGTGGCAGACCTATGGCAAGCATGACATGAGATTGTTTGTATCATTGAAAGCTCTGAAAGATTTGCCATCACCAACCGAGGCAGTCAGAAAAAAGCATAGTTTTTAAAAATTTGCTAATATTCCACATTTCTACTTTCCAGTTGATAGTATGTTTTGCTATAAAATCTGAAATGCAGCAGTTTCAGTATATGATTATAGAGTTTTCAAGTTTGTTTCATAAGATCTCTCAGTTCCATTGAATTTTACCTATTACTTTAGGATTTTGGCCTTTAGTAAATTTATTGCAGTAATAAGAGAGAAATTAAGAGGGTCAGTGAGATGATTTGGTAAGAAATTGAGGCTGAGTTTTAGGAGCACTTATTATTAACATGGAGAAATTATCTACTGTTTTTTAAATTAGTACTAAGATACTTCATTGTTAATTTATAAAATAAAAATAGCAATCTAAACTAATTGATGTCTTTTATTATTTCAAGTCAAAATACTGATTGAGTCAGTACATTGAAAAAAGTACGTTACACTAATCAGCTCCAGATAGTTTCTTTTGACTTCTCTTTACTAATGAGAGTGTTCCTTTCTGAATCCTTAGTTTTGAGATTATAAGTCTTCTTATGCTTACAGCCTGTAACTGTATATACGTCTGTTTATTTTTTTGATGCTGATGTATTTTATAAATATTAATTTTCATAAAAAATCAAGATCATTGCTCATATTTATTCTTAAAATAGGTGCTGTTCCTATCATCAGATGTTCAAAAGGAACAGCAGCAGAAATGGTGGCAGTGGTGAGTTCATACAACTATTACTTGTCCATAAATAATATTGTATTTTCTGAGAAGCATCTCAGGTTTTTTTGTTTGTTTGTTTTTTTTAAACATATTAAGCACCTGATCACTGTGGGCTATATATTAAGTACCAGTGGAAAAAAATTTATTACATTGGGATTACGATGAAGATAGAAAGTAACCATTCCAACCAATTTTTTTTTTTTTGCTAAAATCTGTAGTACTTGTTTAACTCCCAAATTATGCGTTCAGTTTAATTTAGCAAGCATGTATTGTTAACCATTTTTATATGGGATGAAGTGCATTTTAAAAATGGCCCACTCAGTTGAAATAAAATGTTCAGTATAAATTGAGCATTCATAAATTTTCTGTAGTGATTAAGAAATAAAAGAGAAATTAAATACTGGAAAGAAAAGAGGGCAAATGATGTGGAAAGACTAGAGAATTCATTGACATTTGGAAACTTTATTAGCTCAACTGAGTTACTCCTAGAAATCTAATTTCCTTCACATACTCCCATTTCTGTTCTGATGATCATTGTACCCTATACTCTTTTTTACTCTTGGTCATTCAAATCAACATTTTTTTTTTCCATTTAGACAAGAATCTGTTTATAACAGGGTCATGCTTAAAGAGCGAGGATGGGTCATTGCAAATTGTTTCCCATGCCTTAAGTAAAATTAGTTGATAGAAAGTGCTTATTGGCTGGAGCAGTGGCACATACCTGTAATCCCAGCTCCTCAACTAAGACAAGAAGAATGCAAGATCAAGGGCAGGAACAGGGGAATAGCTCAGTAGAATAGGCACCTGCCTGGCAAGCGCAAGGTCCTGAGTTCAATCCCCAATACTGAAAAAAAAAAAAAAAAAAAAAAAAGATGAAGGGCAACATAATGAGACCCTGCCTTCAAAAAGAACTGTGTTTGTTAGTAAAAGCAAGCCACTTATAAGTCACAGTAGAGAAGGCATTGGTCTTTCTAAAGTACAAGTTTTTTAAAAATTATTGTTACTGATTTAAATTTATTGAAAAAGGAAGGTTGGCGAGATAGCTCAGCAGACTAAGCACCTGCTTAGACAAGTGCAGGTATCAGGGTTCTACCCCTAGCATGTGCTGTGCTGGTCCCACCCCTAGACACTCTGAGCTGGCCATGGAGTCCAGGCGTGGTGGTGCACGCCTGTAATCCCAGTGCTAGGGAGGCTGAAAACAGAAGGATCACTATGAGTCCAAGCTGCATAGTGAGACCCTGCACAAAATACATTTAAAAAAATATTGAAAAAGGAAATTCAGTCTTCTAGGACTACCAGCAGATCACCCATGAATATAGTGGACAGGCTCAGATGTCTACCTCCCTCACTAAATGCTATGGCTTCCCCCATTACTGAGCCTTGTCCCATTGGTACTACTTTCCAGAAGCCATGTGGAAGTGTATGAGTACACGTATAGGACATTTGGTCAAAGGAAGTCACAAGTTTTGTGCCTCTAGTCACACTGACCCTAAGTTCTTCTTGGGTGTGTTGTAAACAGAGGCACCATTCTTCAGGCCACCTGCTCTGAGCACACCTTATCAAGTACAAGTTATGGTGGTGTTAAAATAGTTATGCAAAAATGTTCAGATTTTATAATTGCTATTTTATAAAGACATTCTAACAACCTTCTTGGTTATAGAACTAAAAATACGACATGTTACCCCACATGAATTTAAAATATGAGTTAATCTAAAATTTGATTTTTCAGAAACTAGATAAGAAACTTCGGGAAAATCTGAGGGATGCAAGAAATAGTCTTTTTACAGGTGACACACTGGGAGCTGGCCAGTTCAGGTATTATATTAATATACTTAGAAAATTTGAAAACAAAACGTGTAGAGTTTTTATTGTTGTTTTTCTTATATCATGGAATATCTTATACTTGTAGTAGCAATTTATTATTTTTAAATCAGGTCATCAGGTTCATGGTTTTAACTCAAATGGTTCTTGAAATACAGATGAAATATTGAATTTATTTTATTTTGGTAGGATTTTATATTAAATTTTATCACTATGGATTTGAAGATCAGAAGTCATTTCTTTTTCGTTATTATTAATCTTCTTGGTTTTAAAAACAATGAAAAAACTTTGCTAGAGCTGGGGAGAAGGCTCAGTGGAATAAGTGCTTCCGTGGCAAGCGCAGGGGCCTGAGTTCAATCCCCAGTTCCGCCAAAAAAAAGAAAAGCAAAGCAAAAAAACTTTGCTTGTATCTATCATTATTATTAAATTTCCAATTTTACATTAAAATACTAGTAATTTTGTGCAGCATTTCTTTCATTGCTACCATTTCTAGCATGAGTAGGTAATACCAAGGTCATTAACTGCTCAGTTTTTATGACTAGGAATACTAAAAAAAACTGTACATTTTCTTTAGTAATGATAATGGATAGCATTGAAAATAAACCCATTCACATGGGTGAGAATTATTAAGCCGAGACAGGATTTTAGAAAATTCCCTCTTACCTCCAGCTTAATTAATAAACAAAGCTTGTAAGAGGAAAAAAGCGTGATACTCCAAGAAATAATAGCCCTCTGGCAATAAAAATTTCGTAATTGTCACTATACAAAGGGTAACCAAAATATACAGGGAATGTTTGAATTAAGAAAATGTATACCACGGAAAATATACTTATCTCTTATTCTTTCTGTTTTCTGAAGCAATCCTGAAATTGATCTGTGAGTGTCTTTATAACATGTGGTTAAAAATATGTTGAAAGCTGCTGTTGAGTGACATCCATTAGAAAGGTAGATGTGTCCTTGTCAAGCTTATTTGCAAATCAGGCACTCTGAGACCTTGGCTTTTCGTAGTGACTGTTTAGGACATCAGGCCACCCACAAGACCGCGATTACACATACTCATTAAAGAGGACTTTTAGAACTAGTTCAGAAAGTCCAAGAATGTCCGGATAAGTGTGGTTAAAAAAAAAAAGAGGGAGCTTAATGGCTATGTGTTTTTTACTGTAATTTTTTAAACATTGAACATTTACTATGTTTTTATCAGATCTTAATTTCAGTCAGTTTTGATGCCTCTTATAGCCATAAGTACTACTATAATTTGTAATTCACACTAACATTGTGTTTAAAACTTGGTTACCCAGGCTCCTACATTATTTTACATTGTGCTCTGATTGTATTGCTTGTCCTAATTAAGTATTCTTCAGAATGTTTGTCTAACTTAAGCAGAGCAGGAACATCAAATCATCATTTGATTTTATTTTAACAGAGGCAAACAATATGTCTCTCATACCTTGATAATTTAAGTCTTATACTACTTTAGCATCAACCTTAAAAATCAGTGTTAAGGTACTGTTTTGTTTGAATAATTACTAAATTGTTCTCATCGTAGTATAGTTGTCTTTTTAATTTGTTGGATGCATTTGTGAATTTTAATCAGCAATTTACTAGACTGTTGTGCTAAATATAAACATAGGCTAGTGAAATTTTGTCAACCGAGGAAATGTTGTCCCCTATAGACCTTTGATAATGTCTGGAGGCGTATTTGGTTGTGCAAGCTGGGTAGATACTAATAAAATTAAGTGAGGTACATTAAAGAGCTTAGCAGCATCTTACAATGTTAGATTTCTTGCAAGGTGTAGAACAAACCCCATAACAAGGAATTTTCTACCCCCAAATGGCATTTCTACCAAAGCTAAGAAATCCTGCTGTAAATCATCCCTTCCCTTCCGCCTCACTCTGGAATAAATGATAGTAAGTGGTAAGTTTTTAGCCCAGAGTCAATACACATACCCAGAAAGTTGTACTAAGCTATTAGATGATCAGAGATCTATTGCAGGAAAAAAATGTGTAGCTAATATAATCAGAAAGCCCAGGGATGTAGCTCATCGGCTTGAGTGCCTGCTTGGCAAAATCTAAGTTCCCTGGTAGATAGTTCAATCCCAAGTACTGCCAAAAAAAGTCTCTCTTATAATCAGATAATAGTGACTATTGAATAGGCATGTTCTTACTTTAACTGGAGTGTGCTTATGATAACAATAATGCCTTTAAAGAAAATCCCTAAAATTTCTGTAGACACGTGGTAATCACACAAATTTATGCTTTATTGTGCTTTTAGTAGTGTTTTACATCTAAAGTGTAATGATGGAGTTGAAGTTTATGAAATGTCACATACCTTTCTGTTAAGTGAATAGTTACATAATTTGATACTATTGTGACATGTTTTTATATATTATAAAAAGGTTTCTGAGGCTGTAGATCAGTGATGACGGACCTTTTAGGGTTCTCAATGATATAAACAGTCTGATGCACACATGCCCTAGGTTTGCCACCACTGCTATAGTCTACTTATTTGAGTTTATGTTTATAAAAAATTATAGCTTAGGATTTATGAAACAAACATTTGTATATATTTATGAGACTGTATTCTTTTGAATTTTTTTCTTGAATCTGATAGTAAGCTCTGTGGCCTTTTTAAAAGATATGAAATATATATATATCTGAGAAACAACTTACTTTAACTACAAAAAATATTCCATAAATGTATTTCTAAAGATTTTTTTTCCTCTAAGAAAGTTCCCTGGATAAATGTACAGTGTAGCATTATTTATGGGTCCTAAGGCATGCAATCTGAAATCAGGCTTTTTTCATGGTAGTATGGCCTTAGGTCTATCTTCAGTTCAAGGAGCCAAATCTATTTTCATAAGTGGCTGACCATATTAAACAGAAATGTAGCATAGTAATACATGTTCAGTATTAACTTTTGATTTATATCAAGGTGCTAATTCCTATGTACAAAGCATTAGGAAATTTTAAATGTACACATTGCTATGAAAAAACTTTCAATGTCTTTGCAGCTTCCAGAGGCCTTTATTAGTCCTCGTTGACAGAAACATTGATTTGGCGACTCCTTTGCACCACACATGGACGTATCAGGCACTGGTGCATGATGTGCTGGTAAGAGGATGGACACAGTACTTACTGTCATGACCTGGGAGCCTCAGTGGTGGCTTTGCTTCTATGCTAACACCATGTTGCAGAAACAGCAGGGAAGGATGAAGCGGAAAAATATGAATAAAAATTAGTGTTGTAGATGCTAGGGATAGTGAAGCATTGAAGTTTAAAGTCAAAATTTATGAGGGTGGTGGAGATAGCGCGGTAATAAGCACCTGCCTGGCAAGTGCAGCATTCTGAGTTCAGTCCCCAGTACTGAGACAGACAGACAGACAGACAGACAGACAGACAGACAGACAGACAAGAAAGAAAGAAATCAAATTTATGATCTTTGAATTATACCATATATTGGTGGTATTTTTGACAGTGATGAGGGAAAGGGATGAAGGAAGATGAACATGCATATCTTTTTAAATGTTTATATTGAGGGCCTGCCAAATAGCTCAGCAGATTAAAGCACCTGCAAGCAGGTGCAAAGGCCAGGGGTTCCATCCCAGGGCCTGCCGTGCCGGCCCCACCCCAGGGCACACTGAGATAGCTATTGAGACTGGGCGTGGTGCTGCGTGCCTGTAATCCCAGCTCTTGGGAGGCTGTAAACAGGCAGATCACTGCAAGTCCCATCTAGCAGTGAGACCGTGAACACCCTGTACTTCCTTCCCTAAAATAAAAATAAATTGAAAAAAGTAACTTTTTATACTGAATAAAAAAAAAAATACAGTTGTGTGTACATACACAGCCCCCCCAAAAAATGTGTACATGCTTCAGGAAAAAAATTATCAGTATTTTAATACTAAACTTAGGCATCATGAAGTTAATACATTACCTTTGTCCTCTACAGAGGTTCTCAAAGTGGTGGCCATCCACTTCCAAACATTTGTTAGTATGGCAAGCTGCTACTTGGGAAACCTTGGCCATTGAGGTTGCTGAACTTGAATTTTTAGGTTTCTTCTCGAAAGGCCAGCAGTGTATTGGGTATTCAGCAATACATGACATCCTCTAAAGTCCCCCACGTGAAGATAACACCATCTGTTGGAAAAATATACTGGTTTTCTTTTCCTGAAATATGTATATATTTTTTGGCAGAGTGTGTGTGTGTGTGTGTGTGTGTGTGTGTGTGTGTTTTCTCCCTGGTAATAAAAGCTGCATTTCTCCTTTTTCTCTGGGAATCAGCTAAACTTCTTGGTAAAAATAAGTTTTCTTTTTTTATATTACATTATAAGCTTTCTGCAATAATTCTCAATATCTAATTTATTGCATAAAGCAAAAAAAAATTGTACTTACATGTATTTATCAGCTAAATAATGTGTTTAACATGTGATAAGCAAATAGCCCCAATCTTCATAGACTATGGAAAGACAATATATACACAGGTGATTTCTGTCAAATCAGTATATAATAGCAGAATAGTATCCATGTGAGATAGGAAAGAGAGATTAAAAAATTTGAACCCAGAATATTGGCTCTAGATATTAATTCTAGTTTATTAACTCCTAGCCCAGGCATCTAGGAATTGTGGTATATAATAGTATCATTACTACAGAGATTGCCTGGAATGTTATATGAAAAGGAAATGGAAGCTGTATGTTGTGGGATACTCCTTTAGGCCCAGCATTCTGGGAGGATGAGGCAAGAGGATAACAAGTTCAGACTCAGCCTGATGAACTTAGTGACTTAGCGTGACCCTTTCCAAAATGGGTTGGGCACTAGGTTCAGTCCCAGTAACACACACACACACACACACACACACACACACACACACACGAAGAGCTGAGGACATTATCTAGCAGCTTATTTGTATAGCAACTACTAATGCTTAAAACCATACTTGAAGCATTGGTTTTAATCCCCAGCACCACACACACACACACACAAACACACACACACACACACACACACACACAAATTAAAGAAATAAAATGTATGATTTATTTTAATAGCTAACAGTTCAGGTCTTTAAATCCTAGATATTAACTCCAAAGTATTTACTTGCATCAGATTTAGGATTACCAATGGAAATCAGCAGTTCCATTTCTCCATCCTAGAGTCCTGTACCATGACCCTGGGGAGAGTGTCAAGCAAATCTTAACACCAATTCAGTAAAGAGTACAAGAAGAATCAGATGAACTACTGAATTTAAACCCTGAGTAGTTTACACATGGAGGCTGGTTATAGGAGGTTAAATAAGACATTAGTGTGATCCAATTCATCTAGTGAATGCCAAATCTGCGAGAGGTGAAAAACAAATTGTTGTCAGTTGTGGTGGTACTTTCCTATGATACCAGGAGTCTGGAAGGTTAAGGAAAAGGATTGCAATTTTTAGCCCAGCTTGGGCCATTTAGCAAGCTCGTGTCTCAAAATTCTAAAAAAAGAGTGTTGCCCTCTGCTACTGACTCTTGCTTAAAACAGTGAAACAGAATTCATACTAATATATAGGCACTTTGATAATGCATGCTTTTTTGCCACTTAGAAATACAACAGAAAACCCCAGGCACTCATGGGACTGAGGTAGGAAGGTTACAAGTTTGAGGCAGCCTGGGCAACTCAGAGAGATTCTGTCTGAAATTAAAAAAATAAATTAGACTGGGAGTGTGCCTCAGTGCAGAGGTCCTGAGTCCCTGGGTTTGATCTAGTACAGCTGGGGAGGGGAGTCCATTATCTCAGAAGGTTACAGAGGATAGCTGTTTGTAGTTAAGCCATAGCAAAAGTACAGGAGAAGTTTAGAGGGGATGTTCTTTTGTTGTTGTTTTTTTGTTGTTGTTGTTTGTTGTTTTTTGTTTGTTTGTTTTTCAGAACTGGGGATTGAACTCAGGCCCTTGCGCTTGCCCGGCAAGCACTTATTCTACTGAGCCATCTCCCCGGCCTATCTGTTTATTCATTTTAATGCAGGGTCTGGATATGAATAAGCTACAACTGAAATGTTATTTGTTGATTTTAAAACAAGTTGAAGTTTCTCCAGAGCTTTAACAATTTTTAATTTACTCTGCCTCCACAAGGTGGAGTGAAAGTTTAGAAAGGAATTAATAAGTAGAGTTTTAGCTTGCTTTTTATATCAAATATCTTTGAAAATCTGTAGCACTGATAATTTTTCATATACAGTCGACCTTGTAAACTATAAAAATTCAGATAGTGTCCTTATATATTGGAAAGATTATTTTTATTTACATTAAAAAATACACTAGTCTGATGAAAAATTTACCAATGCTTGTTTCCCTTTTTTGGGCTGTAAGAACCAAAATTAATAATCTTTATTCCTTTTTATTTTATCTAGTTTGTGGGAGGGGTAAATTTGATGGTTCATCTGCAAAGATGGTTATCCTCAATTGAAGGGTACCTTGTTTTCTACCTCCTTTTTCTTTTTTAAAATCTTGGAATCTCTTTATATCATTTGCCCCCTGTTATTAACTCTTATTAGAAACAGTAAAACCGACTTTACTATTGTATAGACACTTTCATAAAGCATGATTTTTTTCACCACTCAAGAATACAGCAGAAAATCCAGTCACTGGGAAGACTGAGGCAGCAAGATCATGAGTTTGAGCCCTGTCTAGGCAAGTCAGAGAGATTCTGTCTCAAAAAAAGAAAATGGACTGGGGATTTATCCCAGTGCAAAGGTCCCAATGGTTTAGGACATTTGTGTGTATGTAACACACACACACACACACACACCTACAGGAGTACAACAGGAAGTGATATATAGTATATACATATTGTTTCCAGTACTGAGGGTTAGAGCCAGGGCCTTTGCACTCAGTCTTTTATTATTTTTAGACAGGAACTTACTTAGTTACTAATTTGCCCAGTTTGCTCTCTCTTGCAGTCCTCTATCTCAGCCTCCCAGAATGCTAGAATTAGAGGCGTGTACCACCACACCTGACTTAAACATCCATTTTTCTTAAACATTGGGTAAAGACTGAATAAATGGTTTCTGAATTGAAATTATACTATAAGGACTGGTAGAAAATGTTCGCATATTTCCAGCCCTGTGTCTGTGGCAGGGTTTCCAGCTAACGATTCCTAGAATGAAAGGAACACTTATTGTAATGAGTGGGCAGGCTTCCCAGACATTGCTAATGCTTACAGAATACCTGCAGCTCTGAAGTAGATGAGTTTGTGCCACTCAGTCTAAGCCAACCCACAGACTTCAGTTGTATAAAGTATGTATTTACAATATCTCTTGTTCCTTGCCCAATCTGGTTCTCCAAGGGGAAGTTCTTATATCATAGTGATTCGGATATTTAGGATAATGAAACCATCTTGTAATCACTATGGCAAAAACCATTTTTTTTACTTCAAATAACTTTAAATTTTTAGGGACTATTTCAAATAAAAACACAAAATTAAATAATCCTATATTGAACGCCATGTATATTCAGTTTCCTGATATTACCTGATTTTATGAAAGAATACTTGTATATATCTGTTTTTAAAAGATAGTTGATCAGTATAATCCTGTACTCCTATAATCCAAGCAGTCTAGGAGACTGAGGCAACAGGTATTCAAATTCAAGACTGGACTGGGTAATTTAGTGACTTAGCAAAACCCTACGTCAAAGAAAAAAGGGGAGGGGATGTGCACTAGGATTTTAGCTGAATGTGAAGGCCTTGGGTTCAAACCCCAATGCTGAAAAAAGAAAAAAAATTTAAGATTTTTATTACACCTAAAAAAATTAGAAATAATTTCAGTGCCATTTTTTTCCAGTACCATTTCTATGTTCCTAGTTATTTCCAAATCATTTTAAAGCTACTTATATGTAGTTGGTGTATATAGGTAAGGATCCAAATAATATCCATACATTATATTGGTTGATATCTTAATTCTCAGTTTGCAGTCCTTCCCTACCCTTTGTATTGGCATATTTTGGTCCAAAGAATTAGATAATTTTTCTATGGAATTTCCTATATTTCTACATTTGATTGATTGTATCCTTTTGGTACAGTTTAAAAATGCTTCTCTATCAGTATTTATGGCAAACTAACAGTTCTCAAAATTTGATTTGAGGGTT